TGGTGAGAGTTTGGTGTAGTTTACCACCTTAGAGATGTCATGAGGAGAAGACCTGAGAATGGAACTGCGGCACACATAATCTTCTAAGTAAGTTGGAACATGCCTTTGTCTGGTAGATCTTCTAACAGCTGGTTGTAGGGAGTGTTCAGGTGAAGGAATGGCTGATTGGACAGGTTCTTCTTGTGATTGTTCAACTACTTCATTATTGAAAGGGTTGTGTGTTGGTTCATGATGATTGACAGTGTGAGGATGATGTTGAGTATCATCATAGATTCCTGCTGAGGCATCACTTGGGAGGATGACCTGAGAGAGCTCCTTTTCTGGATTAATACTATGCTGAAAAGGGAATGAGTCCTCATAGAACACTACATATCTGGACAGAAATAACATCTTAGTTTGTAGGTCATATAGCTTGTAGCCCTTTGTACCATTAGCATAACCCAAGAATATATATTTCTTGGCCCTAGCATCAAACTTTGATTTTGAACCTACTGTAGTAGCATAAGCCAGGCAACCAAACACTTTCAAATGTTGATATTGTGGGACCTTATTAAGTAGAATCTAATAAGGTATCTTATTGTCAATAGCAGCAGATGGTAGTCTATTTATAATATAGGCTGCATGAAGAACACACTCACCCCAAAAAACTTCTGGTAGGTTTGCTTGGAATCTTAGAGCTCTAGCAATGGATAGAAGATGTATATGCTTTCTTTCAACTCTGTTGTTCTGTTGGGGAGTATGAGTGCAGGATGTTTGGTGTAATATCCCATTTTGGCTAAAAAATTCAGACATATCAAATTCAAGGCCATTATCTGTCCTTATGCTCTTAACATTAGTTCCAAACTGGACTTCAATCATTTTACAGAAACTCACAATCAGGCTTCTAACTTCAGACTTCTTCTTCATTAGATGTATCCAAACTGCTCTACTGTGGTCATCAACTATGGTGAGAAAATAGTGATGGCCATAGATGGTAGCAGTTCTATAGGGTCCCCAAATATCCATATGTAATAAGTCAAAGCAAGCATCTGAGATAGAGTTACTAGAATGAAATGGAAGTCTTTTTTGCTTTGAAAGATGACAACAATCACAAATCAAGTTCTTATTCATCTGAATTTCTGAGTTCAACTCATGCAACATTTGAATCTTAGAATATGAGGCATGCCCTAATCTAGCATGCCACAAACTACACTTATTCAACTTTGAAACAACACTATTTACAGTTTTGGAACTAACTGGAGAAATCAGATGATATAGTCCATTCTTGATCTCAGTCATTCCAATCATCTTGCCATGGATAACACCCTGTATTATACACTGATTAGTGTGCAGATTCATGATACAGTTGGAGTCTTTAATAAGGGCTCCCACAGATATAAGATTGTATTGAAATCCAGGGACATAAAGAGCATTAAGCAGGATGAGTTCATCAGACAGATACACTGATCCAATGTAGGTGATTCCTACTTGTTGTCCATTAGGTAAACTAACATAAATGTTCTGGACCTTTCTTTGCTTTGTCAACAGGTCTAGACTACACACCACATGGTGAGTAGCTCCACTATCTAATATCCACTCATTTTTCCTGAAATTTGTTAAACTGGGTGAGGAATCTGTACCTTCAGTCTGTGCCCTTGGCAAGAGGTTGGCAGAAATAATGTTGGCATGTACTTCATGAGTAGAATGGTCAAGAGGTGTGTTCAAGGATCCCTTATCATGTGATTTTTGTGCATGAATGAACTCCAGAAATTTCTTGAAGTCTCTTTGAGTGAAAGACATTCCTTCATCAGAGTCTGATTGCTGAACTCCCAGGGGTCCTTGAGTATGATTGATAGAGCCTTGATTTCTTGATTTTGGTTTCCAACCGGGTGGATACCCATGTTTCTTATAGCACTTGTCCTCTGTGTGTCCTGTGAAGCCACAAAAAGTGCATACAGGTTTCTTATTACCTCCTGTAAACTTCTTGAAGTTTTGCTGTTGGTTATTGCCTGCTCTGGACATTGGAATGTTGCTAGCAGTGCCCATCTCTCCTTCCTGATATAACTGATTTGCAATTCCATTTGCTCCAATATGGAATTGCCTTTCTTGCTGAGCAATCATAGAGTATGCATCACATACATCTGGCAAAGGGCGCATAAGCATGATTTGATTCCTTGCCCCTGTGAACCTGTCATGCAAACCAATAAGAAATATGGACAGCTTGTCCTTTTCAGTTTGCTCATTCAATTCATCGATCTTTTTGTCACACGCACACTTCATGGTGCATTCACAACTCACAGAAGGTCTGAGGATTTGAAGTTCATCCCATAGTAGCTTCTGTTGAGTGAAGTATTCATTGAGAGAACTGTCCCCCTGCTTTGCTTGGTAGATCTCGCACTTGATTTCCGCAATACGGAATAGGTCTTGTTAGCTGAACCTGCGTTTTAGGTCTCTCCATATTCCATACGCAGTATCGATCCAAAGAACGCTACGTCCGATTGTTGGAGAAAGAGATCGAACGATCCAGGAGACTACCATGTCATTGCAACGCTCCCATACATTGAATTTTCGATCATCTCTTGGCGGTTTGGTGATGGAACCATCAACAAACTTCAGTTTGTTTTTACAAGATAATGCCATCGTCATGGCTCGTGCCCAGGGGTGGTAATTAGGACTATCTAAGGGCGTAGAAACCAGCACCAGAGCTGGATTCTCATTTGGATGCAAAAAATAAGGGTTCGACTGAGATTGGGGATCGAACGTTACCTCTGCGGCTAATCCAGGTTCAATAATTGGAGTTGTTGGAGTAGGAGGCACCTGAGATGAACTTCCAGTCACCGGAACCCCTGTCGCATTATCCACCGGAGTTGTTCTTGCTCCGATCGAGGGCCATGCAGTTGCCATCCTTGAAAATATGCTTCGGTTTTCTTCTTCTCAAGGATCTGATACCATGTCGTGCAGTTGAAAGAAACTGCCAGATGAATACATGTGAAAAGAAAGAGAGAAAGGAGAATTGTGTTTCTGTTATTCATTGAAAGAGAGAGCTAGATAGGTTTATATACAATGATGATGGGAAGTAACTAACATCTATAACAGATATCTAACTAACTCTACTGCTAACTGCTATGAACAACTGCTAGCTCAAATGCTGACTTGAGATGATTGGTTTGCTGATAGCATATATCTACTAAGAATTGGCTTCTTTCTGATAACATCGTTAATTGAAGAATTTGAAGTTCATCTTTTATTGTAGATAGATAAAGCACTCCTCATCCCAATAATAAGAGTGCTCCAGTCTAGCAGCCGTATAAATTTATATATCTTAACATTTATTAATATTTATTTATAAATATATAAAACAAAATAAATGCAGGTTCTGTCCAAGTTATAGTCGGAAATCGTTTCCGGCTTGGTACTATCGAATTTTGACCGGCGATTCATGTTTTTTTACCGATTATTCATGTTTTTTTTAAGGTAAGTTAAAATTTTGTTGATTAGTTCATCCATATTAATATATCTAATATGTTCTAATTTGTTGTTGTATTTCAGGTGCATGTTCGTCGATATATAATTTTAAGGCGATTCACACCGGAAATCATAATCTACCGTCAGATTCAAAGTTGTAGACTCGTTTTACCGACTGTTCATGTTGAAGATCTAAGCTAAGTTATTTCTAGGACTAATAGTTTGTGTAGTAGTTCATATTTATGCATATATCTAATCTGTAAATTTTCGTTTTACCGGTTGTTCATGTTGAAGATCTTAGCTAAGTTATTTCTTGGACTAATAGTTTGTGTAGTAGTTCATATTTATGCATATATCTAATCTGTAAATTTTCGTTTTACCGGCTGTTCATGTTGAAGATCTAAGCTAAGCAAATTATAATTCATATATAATCTGTAAATTTTCGTTTTAATGGCACTTTTTTAATGAGGCATGATCGTGGTGTTATATTGGAGAGTGTTATAAATATAGTAAAGTGTGGACATTATGAGTTGATTATGTAACTGATGTAACGGTCGCCTTAAACCATTATTACCTTCCGATACAAATGTATATTATATATATATATATATATATATATATATATATATATATATATATATATATATATATATATATATATATATATATATATATATATATATATTGTTGTAATATGTAAAGATAGATGAATGAATAAGAGATTCTTCCTTTCCTCCCTTATTTCTCTATTATGAAGCTATGGATGTGTAGTAGTAGTTATGAAGTTATGGATGTGTAGTTATGCAATTCTGGATTTATAGTTATGAAGTTATGGATGTGTAGTTATGCAATTCTGAATGTATAGTTATGAAGTTATGGATGTGTAATTCTGGATTTATAATTATGAAGTTATGGATGTGTAGTTATACAATTCTGGATGTATAGTTATGAAGTTATAGATATGTAGTTATGCAATTCTGGATTTATAGGTATGAAATTATGGATGTGTAGTTATGCAATTCTGGATGTATAGTTATGAAGTTATAGATGTGTAGTTATGTAATTCTGAATTTTTTTTTTTTTAAGTCGGACGTTAAAACGACGTCGTTTTTGCAAACGTGTGCACCATGCATGGTGCACATGATTGCACAACATAATGCTTAGACTGTGGATCATGATCGTTAAATCAGACTATAGTAGAATTAAAATGATAATTTAGTGTTACTATAATTAAACTAGTGTGTGTGGAAAATAAAACTAAAAAACAAAGCACATTATTGTCAAATGAAACTGTAATATAATTAAAATACTATTTTAGTATTATTATAATGAAACTAGTGTGCGTGAAATATTATTATAATTAAACTAGTATGTGTGGAAAATGAAGCAAAAAAATAGAGTTCAAGCAATAATGTATTTCATCAAATAAAATTATACTTTAGTATTGCAATAATGAAACTAATGTAGAGAAAAATAAAAGTAAATAACATAAAAATATTATCAAATAAAACTGAAATATAATTAAAATAATACAAATTTCATGGTCCACGCTAACATAAACCATGATCCACAGTAAAATTTTCTTATAGAGAGAGGGTGGCCTTTGCACACCGCTACATTGGGTCTTTGCACTCCACAAGTGAAAGAAATCAAGGGTGAGACGAAAAGTAAGCTAGTAGGCCCACCAATGGTGCATTTGTGTATGTAGTGGGCTCCGACTCGTCATAGAAAGTTCTTGAGTCTGGGAAATGGTCAGTCATATTGGGCCCACCGACCACTGCTCCTATAAGAAGATTGGGATTTGGGTTTGGACTTAAGTAATAACGAGACCCCGCTTTGCACCCAATTCGGGCCGGGTGGGCATCCACGGATGGTAATGAGCTAGCCCGGTGATGAATCCTTTGTGGGTAACGTTCACCGTATCCTACCATGTATGACATGTCAAGTGGATTGTCTCCGAGAATGTAGTCCACCTATAAATAAACAACAATATAAGATTACAGTTGTTATACAGTGAACATGATCCACACAGCGCTATGTGGAGTTGTAGGTTATAGTTGTCAAATGAAACTGTAATATAATTAAAAAGTAATTTATATCATGCAAAAGGGCGCGCATTGCATTGTGCGCCCTAATGCAAAACGACGTCGTTTCAGATTTTTTTTTTTGTTGAAATTTTGCTACCCTGTGTTGACAGTTAATTTTCTTTAAAGAAAAATCTCATGTTCAAAAATGTACATAATTTTATACTAGAATACACATAATTGTATATATAAATGTACATAATTGTATAAACAAATACACATAATTGTATAAACAAATAAACACATACTTATGTCAACTCCCTACATAACTTATCAAAATGACGTCGTTTTGGGAGGTGCGGAGCGCACAGTGCTATGTGCGCCGTGGTGCAGGGTATAACGATTTGAATTAAAATGATACTTTAATGTGCTATAATGAAATTAGTGTGTAGAAATTGAACTAGAAAAATAGAGTTCATTAAATAATATATATTGTCAACTAAAGTCATAGTATAACTAAAATGATATTTTAGTGTTGCTATAATGAAACTAGTGTGTAGAAAATTAGTTTTTTTTTTTTTAATTATCTTTTTTGACCCTGCATCTTTCCTACATGACATCAGAAAATTTGGAAAAAAAAAAAAAAAAAAAAACTATGCATTGGAGTTGCTCTAACTATAATTTGATATAAGTGTTACCTGATGTTTGGCCAGGCTAACCGATGTGGCGCCACATCGCACGGCACGATTGGCGTGGCTTAGATAATTGGAGTATGTCAGTAGCAAGAAAGATAAGGATGTTACATGTTGCATGTTACAGCTTCCTGGCTTGAAGATCAATCCACCTTTTCTCAACAACAAAATGAGTTAATTTCATTCTTGTTTCTAGATTTATAAGTCACAGTCATTTTAAGTTTTTTTTTTTTTTTTTGTTTTTAATTTTTATCAAAATATTCGAATTATACATTTTTTTTAAAAAAAAATAATAAACATAAAAAATATAACAGTTCAACCTATTTTGTATAAAAAAGATTGAAATGTCTTTGTATTTAACGACATTTCAACGATTTTGTTGATGGATGATTAAAATTACAATATTAGGACCAAATGAAGATATTCTAATAAAAAAAGACTAAAAGTAAATTGTTACCTATAAATCTAAAAGTATGAGATTAATTTAAAAAATGAAATACATTTTTACGAGTTAATAAGTATTATATTTTTACTTAAAAAAAAAATTAATACATTTAAGTCAAAATAGAATCGATCATATTATATTTTTACTAAAAAATATTACTCATATCACAGAAAGTCAAGTTTAAAAATTAATTACCTGGAGAGTACTGAACTTGAGGATTAGAGATTCCGGGCAAGATAGAACAGATGAAGTCGTCAGCCATGATATTAAAGGATTTCAGATCATTTGCTTTCCCCATCACCACTTCCTGTCTCATACAAAACCATTTTAAAAAAGAATGACAGAATTAAAAAGGTTGTAATGTAACTTATATGCCGCAATATCACCTATTCACCTTATTATACCTCACCTCCATTAACATAAATTATATTATATTGTAAAATTTAAATAACTATTTTTTTTTTTTACACTTTCAACCCATATATATTAATACAATCTATATTTATTCCATTGTCACACGCAAATAATCGAATTGACTTTCAAACAAATATAAATGTACGCGTGATGGAGATATTGGAAGCAATCCATGAATAGAGATCCGGTGTCCGGACAATAGTTATTGCATGGACTGTGGACAACGGTCTAAAAACAATGTCGTTTCGCATAAAATAAAATAAAAAAAAAATCATGCAACTAACCCACTGAAATATATATTTTTATAACTCATAATGTACAGTATTCTAATGTGTATTTTAACTCATTAAGTACATTATCTTATCCCAGAAGTTTTATTATTCTAACACATAATGTACATTATTCTAACACATAAACTACATTATTCTAACTCATAAAATTCAACTACGTTGTTTTGGATCGTGGTCAACACAATAATTTACCGGGTCCTGGAGCCCAGAGCTCGTGGCCCAAGAAGAAGGCCTGGCAGCTCAAGATCATCCGGATGAGACTACTGAGCCGAGTAGCTGGACCAGAAGCAGGGACCAAAGGCCCGAGTCCCTCGTTGGGACCCGGCCTCTGCGACCAACCCCAAGTGATCGTTATTCTTCAGAGCCCAACAACCTATCTCTGGGGTTATAGCGGCCGGATTTTGCCCAACCCTACGGCCCACCGTGCGGTCTTTTGACTCACCATGAAATGACAAATTATTGTATTGACCATATTGTGTGGACCATGAATATAGGGTACATTTTTAATATACTAGAGGTACATTATTTGTGTACTGAAGGTACATTATTTGATAGTATATATAAAATAATGTACTTTTAGTACTAAAATAATGTACCCTCAAATAATGTACTTTTAATATACAAATAATGTACCTTTAGTATATTTAAAATGTATTTTTTATTTATGGTCCACACAATGGTCCATGCAATAATGATTGCCATGGAATTAGGTAAGTTAGTTGGAATCTCCTTATATAAATTGATACGGAGTATTGTTTAATTATTACAACATCATGTTCAATTCTTATAAACTCCTTGTAGTATTCTTACATTAATCAACTCAAGAAGATTAAAACTTTTCAGATTATGGGTAGTAAATATAGATATATATAAAATTTAGGAATGAGACTAACCTTGGATAAGAGAATATTAATTCCGGCGTGTTTATTATCCCATCCAAATTCATTGACGGTTTCTGCGGCTCTCAAGATCACCTCATTCATCACTATGTATTCCCTGTATTCCCGCCTTCTTGACGCCTTGTGTAGCCATGCAGCCCCCCACAGCAATTCGTCCTAATTTTCATTTTTTTTTTTTTTAAACTTCACAGCTCAAAACTAAACACGTACACACATACACGCACTTGGGAGTACATTTTGTATTTTCCCATATTAATGTGGATGATGTTGTAAGCTAATATATAACAAAAATCTGGCAAATTATTTTGTGCAAGGTGAATCCGAATCCAAATTATACAATTTACATACTGAATCTTCACAATTTTGTTAAAAAAGGTAAATTGTGAACATTTAGTATATAAATTGTGTATTTTAAATTTAGATTCACCTTGCAAAGTGGACCCTGATCCATAATATAACAATTGCAAAAATCACATTCTAATATTCCATTGAGAAGTACTTGTATTTGATACGATTTTTAATTAAAAAATAAATCAAATATTATATTCTAGCCCAATTAATACTTTTAAGAGGATACGCATTTTAAAAATTTAAAAGAAATCATAATAAATATTACGGAGTACATAATAGTGTAATTGAAGATATATTACTATAAGTAGGCTTAAAAGAAAAAGAGATTGTATTATTAAAAAGATGTAACTAGCAATTCAACATATTATCAGATGATTTTGTGATTTTACCTAATACCCATTGACATCACAGTAGAAAGGACAAACTGCACTAGATAAGTCACCATTACTGTATGCACCACGATACTTGTCAGCAAACGCAAAAACCTACAAACAAAGCATATATCATTTTCGCTCAATGGTTAAATATCTATTTTGTTATGTGATTTTTTTCCAACTAAAAAAAGGAATTGATATTATGCAAATTTCTTCTCCTTCATTTTATTTATTATTATTATTATTATTATTATTATTATTATTATTATTTTTGTGTAGATACAAAATTAAAAAGCGTAAAAATTTTTCAAAACATTTAATACTCCCCATCATATATAGTAATAATTCAAATAAGGGTAAAGCTAATAAAGTAATAGACAACTAATAGGGTCGAGATGACACCATTAAATGAGCAATTATCAATTGTCTTAATCTACAAACAATGTGATTAAAATACTATTGCTCCTGTTAATGGCATATTCTACTTAGCCAGCAAATAAAGTCATTCGCTTTTGACAAAAAACGTCACAATTTTATAAAGTTAAAGAATAACTTTGAATAGTGAAAAATCAAAATAAGTAATTGCAACTAATTGGGGACAAAAAATATTTCTTTTGTTTGTTTTTGAGGTAACATTTTTTATTTTAAAGCTACAAATGCATGCCAGGACTCATTTACCAGGCGTTTAGTTGAAAGAAGAAAATTAAGGAAATAAAAATTGTAATTTCATGAAAAAAGAATAACGTAGTAATTTATTGAAAAGAATAAATAATAATAATAATAATAATAATAATAAAGGTAAAATAATATATTTTACTGTGAAATTCTAATTTTGCATAATATAAAATTACAATTCTTGAGGGGACTTTAAAGAATTGCAATTTTATAATTAGAGAAAATTGGAATTTCATATAATAGAATAAAATTTTCATAGATATAAAATTACAATTTAATCATGCCAAACACCTCATTAAGTGGTTGGCATTCAATTCATTAGCGGTGAAGAAATTCGTTACATAAGCATGCACTTAATGTGAAAGCCAGTTTCCATAAAATGGGCCCCAGAAAAGATGGTTCTTTCCGATGACAAAAACCGCAGCGATTAATGAACAGCGCGATAGATAAGTACAAACTTACTTTAACGGCACGGTCCAGTAGAAGCCTAGAGTAAGCAGGGTCACGTGACCGGAACACGATTGACGCGGCGGCCAGAGCAGCCGCCGTCTCTCCGGCGACGTCGGAGCCCGGATTGTACCGGTCAACCTTGTACACCGTCCTCGGAGTGTCCATGTCCTCTGGCCTCTCCCAGCACTTGTGGTCGGAAAATGCGTCACCCACTTGGACATATATAACGCCGTCCCTAGCGGTGGCCTTCAGCAGGTAGTCCGTCGCCCACCTCACTGCCGCCACCGCGTTGGGCAGCTCGCCGCCCATGCTCCGCCCGAAGTCTATAATGCTCCACGACAACAATGTGGTGGTGAAAGCCATTGGAAACCCGAATTTTATGTTGTCTCCGGCATCATAGTACCCTCCCGTCAAGTCCACCTAATTAATGTAATCATTGTAAGTATTAATGGCACAATTTTTGTTCTTGCTAGGATTGAAATTCATGACCGGACTCTGATACCATTATCACTAGGCCACACAATCTGGTGGTCACCGATTGATAGATTTGACCATTCACGGGCCTCCGCCCAACAATTACATTAAGAACTGTATGTCATATTGTTGAGCGGATCAATTATAGACAATTTAGACTAATTTAAATCTTTTGTGGGCTAAAGTCACAATACGGGGTTTACTAGCACACACTCACGATTAGTGATTACAGATTTCCCTGGTGACCCCAAAAAAAAGAGTAAAAAACTAAGTACTTACTCCGGCGGAGGATCCGTCGTGCATTGCGGAGTCTTTGCGCCAGCGGAGGCGTTGATCCGGTGGGAGTCTTCCAGAGCGTTGGCCTTCGAAGAAGAGGATGCTCTTGCGGAGTGCGTCGCGGTAGTTGTGGCCTCCGGCGGAGAACTGGGGGAAAGAATTGAGGGAGAGGATGAACACGAGGAAGGTAGCGACGGAAAATGGACGGAAACTAGCCGGAAAGTTGCAGGGCTTTCGCGCCATTTTCGGTTGCTGAGGTTACAAGAAAGAGATGAGGGAACGGCCGTTTTATAGAGGGAAGACATTTTTGCTGGGCATTGGATACTTGGGAGAGAGCCAACAGGCTTGCGCCGCGTGGCAAGATGCAATTGGCTAACCATTGAAAAGTTATTTGACTCTTTCGGACTCCTCTGACCGGTTCGGTTAGACCGGCTAAATTTGTGCCATTACGCATCAATATACTGCATAATTGACTCGCAGGCCAGGAGTATTTATTTTTGAGAGAGTAATATAGGCTCTCCCTCTCACTTTATGTATCTGATTCAATTAATAATATTTAATTAAAATTATTTTTAATTCAATTTTTAATAATATTAAATTTAATATTAATATACAAAATTTATATATTTAGAAACTATATTAAAAGTACTATTAAATATAAAAATTAGAACTATGTGGTTTAATGGTACCGGGATGGACTTCCATTTGGAAGGTTGTGAGTTCAAACCACGTCTAATGCTACATTGTAATAAACTTTTAGAAATATCATCTGAGCACGAGGTATTTGGCGGATGAGTAATTTTTTTAGTGGTTGTTTACTTTAAAAATAAAACAATAAAATAAGACTGAAATAAAATTTAGGCTCACATTCTAGAAATGTAGATATCATGTGTTAAACAGCAATTATATACCACCGTTTGATCTTAGGACCGTTACTGTTTGGAACGTGATGGGAGTCTGGGACTGTGAGTCTGTGAGTGATATTTACTAGTGGTAGCGGTTTGGATTTAAGAAATCACCTCTAGAGATATCAATTGGGTCAATTTTATATGATTGTCATGTTTATCGATTTATTTTAGAGTTAATTTCACCAGATGTCCCTTGTATTTGGTGTCAATTTCAAATTTAATTTCAGATTATTATTTTTGTCGTTTAACATTTCAGATTATTATTTTTTTTTGACATTTTTAGTCCTACTAATGACTTTTCCTGTTTTTAGTAAGGACATTTTTGTCTCTTCACATTTTTCCTTTGTTATTTTTTTAATTTCAACAAGTTTAATTGGCTTAGGACTTTACTAAAAACCGGTTGAAAAATATGGTTATTAAAAATCAAAGGTTACCTAAAGTTCTAAACCAATTAAACTGGTTGAAACCGGAGAAATAACAGAAGAAAAATATAAAAAGACAAAAATACCCTTACTAAAAATAAGGAAAGTCATGAGAAGGACTAAAAGTATCCAAAAAAATAATAGTCTAGAATATTAAATAGCAAAAAGATAGTTTCAGACTAAATTTAAAATGAAATAAAGGTCAAATAGGCCATCAAACCATACACAATAATGCAATTAGGCCATTGAACTCAAAAAAGCTACAATTGAGTCCCTAAACTAACATATTTCAAACAATTTCTCTAATTTGCAGGTTTTCTACCTTTATAACAAGTCACCAAATTTAAAATATTTTTTAAAAATAATTAATTAAAATAAACTAAAATAAATTTTAGAAAAAAAAAAAAAAAAAAAAAAAACATCTTCTCACTGCCGGGAAACAGAGGGAACGGTGAAGGCCCTCGTCGGAGAGGGAGATCCAAGTCCGCCTGCTTCAAGCTCCGCTGCTGCCGTCGACGAGGTAGGACCATCGCCATCCTCCGACGCAGCTCTGCCCAGCTACCGTCGACGGTTGCTCTGTTCGATGCTCTGCCCGCTCGCCGTTGATAAAAGATTGAAGGGTCAGCCGCTGCCACGGAAGGGAGAAGCTGCATGCTTAGCTTTCTGTCGCCGTCCGCCGAATCCCACTGCCAAGCTTCACCTATGCTGCTGCTACCGGAGAACAAAGACACCACCACCGTCTTACTGCTCACCTACGCCGGAAACCCGAAGGGAAAGAAGGCGCCTTCTCTCTGTCTCTCACTCTCTGCTCTCTGCCAACTATGCGAAGGCGAAGGCGCAAAGCGGAAGACGGAAGTGCGGAACACCGGAACTGACTACTACGAACTCCGAGTCTCCGACCATCGATCGGCGACTTGCGCACTGCCAGTGCGGAGACGATGCTTTTTATTTATTTATTTAGTTATTTAATTTTATTTTAGTTTATTTTAATTATTTTTTTAAACATATTTAAAAGAAAATATTTTAAATTAGGTGACCTGTTAAAAAAGAAGAAAACTTGCAAATTAAAAAAATTGGTTGAAATAGGTTAGTTTAGGGACTCAATTGTAAATTTTTTGAGTTCAGTGACATAATTGCATTATTATATACAATTGAATGACCTATTTAACCCTTATTTCATTTAAAATTGTCACGACAAAGAACCTATGGTGTAATTAACTCTTTATTCTAATTGCTTTTTTATATTTTGGTTGAGTTAAAAGGTCTGAGAAGTGGTGAGGTAGTGGCCCTACTACAATATTGTTTGTGTTGTAGTTTGACTGAATCAATTTAATTGTTGTCAAATTTTAAAAAGTTCCAATAAGATATTCAAAATCATACAGATAAATCAATTTTATTGGTAACTAGGAAGTTATTTGTTAAAAATAAAAACATGACATGTTTTTTATGATGATGATGATGTAAAATACAATTATATATGATATATTTGATGGTATAAGATATTATTAACAATATTATAAGTATCATTGAAAAACACATTTAATTTATCTGTACACATGTTAAAAAAAAAAAAAAAAAAAAAAAAAAAAAAACCAAAAGAAAGAGTAGGCAATTTGTTTTCATTACAATATTCCCATATCGGGCATGCGCCGCATGCGGGCAGTACACTTCAATTCTTCATAATCAGCGGCTAACATATTGCCTTTTGTTTCTATTTCTGTGAGAAAAAAACGCAACGATTTTCGGGATAGAAATCGCCCAGACTTCGGTTGCATATCTCTCGCATATTGTTTCACAAATCTTTATCTGTAAAACAGGTCGAGTCAATATGGTATTGTAATATTTAGACTAAAAAAATTAATATTAATCAATAATGAAGTATTTGTTACTAATAAAGAAAAGTGTAATAATTAAGACTATATGGTCTAATGGTACCCAGGTTGGACTTTCATTTGAAAGATTGTGAGTTTGAATCTTAGGTTGAGCAAGTATATGAACATATACTACATTATAATAATAGAGCCAGTAGCATTAAGAAAAGTGTAATACTTTTTAAGAAAAAATATAATATTGTAGTACAACACACACAATATTTTAGAAAGAATCTAAAATAAATAGACATTTTCAAAACTAAATTCTTTAACTTTAGAGCTTATTTATTTATATATAATATATATTGCTTATGAAATTGTTGGGTAATAAGGTGGAAAATCTCAAAATAATAATCCTACGGAAAGATTATTATTCTATGGGAAAAACAGAAAAAACTGAGAAGGAAAAGGTGGAAAAATTGGGTAGAGGTTAGCACGAGTTTGAACACAAAGTTCTTTTCATTAAAACCTTATTTGCTACCTCCCACAAGTGCTAGGAGCATTGTAGCCTAGGTTTCCCAGGATAAAACGTGCTACGATTCTTTGTTTAAGCACCCAAACAAAGAACTCGGCAAACAAAGCAGAGTATGAACACTGTTTGGCTAAAGAAGAGAGTAGAAGCAGAAGTTTTGAAGCTTAAAACGTATTGGAATTCCTTTGTTATTTTTGTAGTGTATGAAAAACTTCCGGAAACATTCATGCCCGCACACACAAGCCTTTTCGATCTCGTTTCTAATTGGAATTTGATTTGCATCCCCCCTCCCCCCACGTACCGCGCGAGAGAACATTTATGCTATAACAATTCTACAAGTTCCAAAAGAGCTCTTGTATAAAAGGGGGGCAAATCCTCTTTCCAAACCAATGTGGGACAAAGCTCACTTTTTCCCTTCATTTCCCAACTCAAATGGGTCTACTTTGAGAATTAATATCTCATCCACCCATTATCCGTTTTGAGCGTACAATATATCAATCTCTTCGTCTTACTACGAAGAACCCGAATCCACTTTGACCCGATGCAAATTGGAAGTAGACCCCACTGATAATTGTACCACAAAATAGCCACTTAATATGCCATTTTAAGCTATTTTTTCCAACAGAAATATCCTGCCATAAGTTTAATTTGGCAACCAAAAAAGACAACAATAAATGGAAAGTATGTATTATGCGCTCTAAGGTAGGGTCTTATGAGCTTAAGATTAGTCTATGGAATTACCTAAGTTTAAGTAATAAATAAATAAATAAATGGAAAGTGCTTAACTTATACGGAGTAGCATATTTTACATTTAATTAACTTCTAGGGTGTGGAGAATTTAACTTAGAAAATGTTTATATATTTTACATTTTTTTGAAAAATAATTTTAAATGTTTAATTAGTCAAAATAATAATAGTGTTTAGAAATTAATGTTGTGTATAGTAAAATGATAAATATTCTATTTTATTAAGTAATTAAGCTATGTTTGACTCTTAACAATAACATTTAATTTTAAATTATTGTTATTTTTATCAAAAATAAATTATTGTTATTTCATTAGATTAGATGGCATGGAAATAACTACTAGGCATTAATAAAGTGGTGGCGATAACTCAATAATATTATATGACACAGCATTAACAAGACAAAAATAACTCTAATTTTGTAAATAAGTTTAAAAGCACTATAATTTCTAAAATAAGATTTCAAACTATTTTAGTTTGGAAAAAAGCTCTTAAAAATTAAACTATTTAAATTGCAGTCCTGAGAATAATTGGAAAATAGTAAAACAACAATTAACCTCTTCAGTTAATTAAATTGTTATAATTATCAATAGTTGGGTGAAATATCCCCATTTATCACTCACAAGTCGCAAGTGCTCAATTAACTCCTTGTTCTAAAATGAGATCTAATTGACCACATTTACTTTTCAAATTGTGTTCGCTTAACATTTTCTCCAAGTTTCCATCAGGCAACCCTTCTATAATGCTGACATGAAATTTAAATAAAAATAATTTAATAACTTGTTTCATTGTTGACTCATTCAAATCCAGAGAAAACCACTACTCTCTCACT